TTACAGTCAAATTTCATTAACTTGCACAATGCATATTCCTACTTTTGCTTTCATCCAACCAAATGGAAGTTATAATTTAGTAAAAAGAAAAACTACAAGTAAATATAAATATGTTTTTTTTTCAATTATTTTATTTGTAATCACTTGTCAATATATAAAAATAACAAAGTATATAAGCACATATCAATAATAACAAATTAGCACAAATTAGTTTCCGTGTAAAGTCGGAAATAAGACGTATGTGCGAAATGTCACGTGGCCAATTGTCATGATTCAGATAAGTTTATTTTTAATATCACCAGTATACAATTGCCGGGATTTAATGCACTTCCACTTTTGTAGACATTTATGTGGATTGAAAGAAGATAAAGGGGGGCCTTCCAGACTTATTCGCATCAAGCGATCTAACGTGTCCACATTTAGGCGGCATCTAAGCTTAGTTTTGATAAGGTTCTGTTTGGAAAAACCTCTCTCACACTCTACGCTGCTAACTGGTAGGGTCCTCCCTATTTCCATGAGTCTTACCACATTGGGAAAGTGTTCTCTCAGAGAATTGCTATGACAGTTTACAAGTAATTCAGAATGATTTAACCCCTTAAGATTAAAAATAATCATTTGGCGCATAATGGGCCATTTCGATAAAATTGCACAGGTGTCATATGGACAGTTTTCAGCTTTTGAAAAATGTCCATTTAGAATATCCAATTGCTCAAAGCCGTAATTAGAATCAGTGGTAACATTCTTTGGATCAAATATTGTGAACGCGGAGAGAATTTTGTTGTCGGGGAACCGAGAAGTTACATTGTCCACCACCCTAGTCACTGTCTTGCGTACCCTGTCTAAAAGCGTAGCGTCTTTATGTGTCCTTGTCATTGTCTCGCCCAAATACTTGTCTGTCCCTTCAGTAATTTGCAAAAATGTCGCCAATTTAGGTCCATAGGAGGGTTCGTCGTCCAGGTATGTTTTGGTCATTGCTGCTTAAAATCTGTCTACTGTCTGTCTCGTACCCTCGTACCCCAAGTCGCGTACCTGTAATGCTCTGCTCAGTGCCCCGATACACCCAAACAAATCTTGCAAAAATGCTGTATAGAAAAGAAATTTATATGTTTTTAAACGCGAATATAAGGCATCGGCCATTATGTCTGTTTCTGCATTATCTTCCAACATTTTCAACAATGCTGGCAATGTTTTTACGAGTGATTCTATGGCGTTTGTCATAGATAGCCATCAGACTTTATGAACTTCCGATGGCTTTACAATAGGTTGGTCAAGCAGTTCCTGACGGTATTCAGGGTACTTTCATAGAAGGCTATGTCTGCATCGGCCTTCGATACATCAACAATAGCAAGGGCTAGACGGTGGGCAACACAATGAACTTCTATAAGTGGGACATATTCCTTTAGTAAGGCTGCTACACCACCCGGTTTTCCCAGCATCACTGCAGCCCCATCTGACCCCATGCCAAATATCTTTTTGACATCTATCTTGTTGGTTCGTAAGAATGCAATAATAACATTAGTAATTGCCACCGCATTACATTCTTTGACCTCTATCAATTTTACAAATTTAGTCAGCAAGTGTCCACCCTTCAAATAATTAAAATACAAAATTAAATGTTTCTCGGAAGACAGATCTGTGCTTTCGTCAAGCATAAAACTTGCAGCAGGGCTAGCTTGGATATCTGAGAGGATTCCTTCCTCAATTTCACTAGATATTAACGAAATAAATTCACCACAAGAATTAAAATCGCGATATAATTTTTTTGTCATTTCGTGTCCCTGCTGTTTTGTCTAATCGATCAATTGTTCATAATTTTCGATGGCAATGTTTCTTTTAGCTATGAAATAAGCATTTCGGATTAACGCAATCATTGTACTATTAGCCCGGTTTGAAACAGTTTCTATAGATTTGGGAATTAAACTCTTTGTTCTGTCATCGTCTTTCTTTACTGCGCAGGTATGATCTTCGGATTTAATATGGTCTTTTATTGCCGATAATTTGAAATTAATAGAGCCACTTACAAATTTATTTTTATGGTTGTGCTTCTGGTAGATCTGAAATTGGTACAATAATATAATATAAGATACGTGAAAATAATAGGTTAACTTGACGTGAACATAATAATTATATACGGGTCAGTAGGTTATTACCAGATTTACTCTACGCTAACATAATAATAATAATATACGAGATCAGTAGTTTATTAAGTGACTTAAAAAAAAAGAAGATTAATAATTAATAACTTACGAGACAAAACATTTTCTGTGAATTTTTGTCAAACGAAAGCCATTTGAAAGTGGTTAACCATTCGGATTTAAAATATCTTCCGGACTTCGACTTTGGTTGACCTACGTTGGACGATCTCCGGCTTTTGGAACTTCCAATGACGACGTGCATGCTTCAAGTTCAAGGTCAACGCCGCCATCACTATCTTCGGCTAAATCTCGTTTACGTTTTCTGTTGTCATTCTGCGAGGTGTTCAAGTACTTCAACATTGTGTTAGATAGAAATGAATGAATCGACATCGGATTATATACATTCTTTTACTTGGCATGATTAACTCAACTAATTAAGTTGTTTATTTAGGAAATGAGCCGATAAGGATTGAAGCTGAAGGTATTCATATTGTATTGACTAGCTCTTTGATGGGTTTCTTAATCGACAAGTAATAATTAATTCTTTGTTAACGGCCGAAAATTGATTGATTAATGATACCATACTGGCCGGTTCATTGTTTTACCGATCGGCTTGATAATTAACTCTTTGTAAATAGGCCGAAAGTAGATTAATATATGATACCATAGTGGCCGTTTCTTTGTTCTACCAATCGGCTAGATTAAAGATCAATCGGCTAAAGCTGACAAAAAACAGCCGATTAAGATCCCTGGTTATGGCCTTGATCACTTTGAAAATTCTTGTGGACGCTCTCGAGGCTAAAGTTAATATCAGATTGACTTTAAATTTATATACAGTGTTGAAGACGATGAGACGAAGAAGCCTAGTGATTTTCAGCGATTTCCGATAATTTTTGCCAGAGTTATGGCCCTTGATCACTTTGAAAAATCTTGTGGATGCCCTAGAGGCTAAAGTTAATATCCGATTGACTTTAAATCTATACACAGTGTTTAAGATCCTGAGACGAACCAGTATATTGATTTTCAAGAATCTTTATGACTTGAACAGCTAAATCCATGATGTTAAAAGTTTTGTATACTAAACGTTAGCATGGGGCAGAATCTATAAAAACCAAACAAATTCTAATGGTTTTCTGATAATTACTTAATGAGTTGTTAATCTTAATCAGATTTTAATGTATTATAAATGTTAAATTACCAAAAAAAGTCAAATTATGCGACAACTCTTGTTGAGTGCCCGGACGATATAGCTGCTGTGGGCATATGTTTCGTTGCCTGGCAACCTATCTTTGAAATATAGGTTTATCTCCCTAAGATCTCGGTTCCTTTCGATATTGGCATGTATCGGACCGTAACTTCATGGATTATGGCATCTGATTGTACGAAAAATCGCGTTTTTAGCTTGTGGTCCCTCAAGAGGTCACAATTATTAACTGATTTAAAAAAAGTTTGAATATGTGTCTCTTTCAATTCGAATTTCATAAAAATCGGACCAAAATGGACGCCTCCCCCACCCCACCTCCCGATCGCAAATAGTGTAAACATCTGGTATATGAAGGCTGTGGACCGTCTAGAGGTCACAATTTTGATATGTTTCGTATACTAAACGTTAGAATGGGGCAGAACTTAATAAAAACCAAACAAATTGTAATGATTTTCTGAAAATTACTTAATGAGTTGTTACTCTTAATCAGATTTTAGTGTATTACAAATCTTTCATTACCAAAAAAAAAGAAATATATGTGACAATTCTTGTTGACTGCCTAAACGATTTAGCTGCTGTGGCGTATGTTTCGTTGCATGGGAACCTATCTTTTTAAATCAGATAATAATTGTGACCTCTTGAGTGACCACAAGCTAAAAACGTGATTTTTTGTACAATCAGGGGACACAATTCAGGAAGTTACAATCTAATATGCACGAATATCGAAAGTAACCAAGATCTTTGAGTTATAAACATGCATTTCAAGTTTCATCAAAATTTGGTGAAAATTGTGACCTCTAGAGGGTCCACAACCTTGATATACCATATTTTTACACTATTAGCGTACAAGGGCTGGCCATTTTGTCCAGCAGTTTTTGTTCGATTTTCACGAAATTCGAACTCAACCACCATTAGGGTGTAACGTTGATATATTCAACCGTTTTTTTAAATTGGATAAAAATTGTTAACTCTAGAGGGACCGCAAGCTTAAAGCGCAATTTTTCATACGATCAAGGGTCATAATTTAGGAAGTTATGATCCGATATGCGCGAATATCGAAAGGAACCAAGACCTTTGTCATATAAGCATAAATTTAAGGTTGCATCACAATCGGAAAAAAATTGTGGCCTCTAGAGAGTCTACAACCTTGACATACAACATATTTACACCATTTGCGTTATACGAGGGGCGGCCATTTTGTCCATCAGTTTTGGTCCGATTTTCAACCATCATTAAGGTGTAATGGTGATATATTCACATGTTTTTTTAAATCAAATAATAATCGTGACCTGTAGAGGGACTACAAGCTAAAAACACGATTATTTGTAAGTCAAGGGCCATAATTCAGCTAAAAACGCGATTTTTCGAACAGTCAAGGGCCATAATTCAGGATATGTGCGAATATCGAAAGCAACTTATATTTCAAATTTCAACAAAATCAGATAAAAATGAAAATGTGGGCGTATAAAAGTATTACTGATAAAATTTCAAATCTGTAAACTCAAGATTACTGAAAACACAACATGATTCATACACAGACTTATTCCTTATATCAAGAATGATGAAGACCAGTGAAATATTTTGTGATGAACAGAGATTTTGAACAATTATTTGCCAATTTTTCAGTGTATTGAGATTATAAATTTTCTTGAACTTTCTAGGCCAAGATTAGGTCAGACTTTCCATAAAGTGTTATGTGTGGGAGGAATATTTTTTATTCTAAGTTCAGTTGAAGGGTGTATGAGAGCTCTTAAGGTATGTTGTTTTTATGATAATTTTAGTCTCCTGCCTTTTGAAGAAAGCAGGGGACTATTAAAATGGGTTCGTCCTTCCGTCTGTATATCTGTCACACTTTTTGGGACACAATAACTCTCTTTCTAATTGAGTTAGAATGTTAAAACTTGGTATAGGTGTTTATTAGGTCAATGCCTTGATGGAGTTCAAAGACGACCATTTTCTGCTTAGGGTAATCAGAGATAAGCAATTTGATTGGTTGATGCTTTGCGACACGATAACTTTAGTTGTAATTAAGTGAGAGTGATGAAACTTGGTCTATAGTTTCATTACATCAATAGCTTGACTAAGTTCGATAATGAGCATTTTCTGCCAAGAGTAAGCAGAGCGATAAGCAATTTGATTGACCGAGACTTTGGAACACAATAACTTTCATTCTAGTTGAGTTAGATGGAGTTCGATGATGAACATTGTCTGCTTACGGTAAGCAGAGATAAGCAATCTGATTGGTTGACGCTTTGGAGCACGATAACTTTAGTTTTAATTGAGTGAGAGTGATGAAACACCGAGTATAGATTCATTATATCATTACCTTTACTAAGTTCGATGATGAGTATTTTCTGCTTAGACTAAGGAGCGATAAGCAATTTTATTGGTCAAGACTTTAGAACATAACAACTCTGTTTTTAATTGAGGTAGAATGTTTAAACTTGATGTAGATGTTCATTAGGTGAATGTTTTGACCGAGTTCAATGATTAATATTTCGAGCTAAAGCTAAGCAGAGCTAAGCAATTTCATTGGTCGATGCTTTGGGACAGATAACTTTGATTCTATCTGATAGAGAGTGATGAAACTTAGTGTATAGTTGATAATCAGTTTGATTGCTTGATACTTTTGAAAAAAAATAAATGTGCTATTAATTAATATGTGTCATCTATTTATTTTCGGATTTTGGCGGGGGACATCAGCCTCACTGTTGGCTTGTTATCAATTAAACACAGTGATGGTCCATACCCATAAAATAATCAAAAGCTAGCCAATATATCATTAAAGTTTGTACTTTTCACAATCTGATCAAAACACAGATCCTATTTCGTTTCGTTTTTATAGTTCAAAATTTCGTTTTACTTATCTTTACTACACTAGGATCTGGAAGAGTTGTTATCATTAACGTGTTCTGAATGATGTGAGGGATAAGCCAATGAAATGGTCTGTTACGGCAAGCTTTAGGCGTGTTTTGCAAGGAACTGTGGGTAATCCACTAGTAACATCAATGCTGATTGGTTAATCAAATGTCCGACATAGGGTCAAAAGTCGCTCGTATGACCTCTGACGTGACCTATCGCAACAACCGGTCAGATCTTCATGTAGTGTAGGCCATCGAAAGTATAAGAAACGAAACGAAATATAGATCTGTATTTTGATCAGATTGAACTTTTCACTATTTTTGTGCAATTGGAAAAATGGCTGTTTAAAGGACAATATTGGTGTCACTTATCATCACATATGTGATAGAACTCGTTATCCTTGTATCTGTTATCACTCGTCACTTCAGTCAGTTATATAGAAGGATAACTCGTATTTTCCTATTGTGTTCGTCACTTCCGATTGTTGAAACATATTACGCATCTATCGTAGCAATGATCTCTGTGTTAAAATTATATTTGGAATGTATTTAACGAGTTCTATCACATATAAGATAATGACTGATACCAATATTGTCCTTTAAGATATACAGTATTAGTCCAGCAGAACTATGGCTAAACCTGGAAACATAGGCGTACGTTGCCGAACTTGTTTGGGGGGACCAGCATATTTTCCAGACAAATATATATCTTTAGAGGCCGTAGACGCGATTTCCAGGCATTCCGAATACTTTCTAGTAATTTGGAGCGAGTAGTAAATTATGTCAGTTTCAGCATTAAAACTGGTAAAAAGTCATCTTTAAAATACAAGCTCTATTACTACGAAAACAAGAACAAGTTGAACGATTTACTTTTGCCACATTTTTCATTTTATGAGACTTCACATTTTTTATCCAGATCTCAGATGTATAGGAGACTTGTATATTCTTTGATGTTGGCAGTGGGGGGTATCAGTGGTATCTATCAATATCTATATCTCCTCCTCTGGCATCCACAGGTAGCATATGAAGTGTATGTATGGATAGGGAAGGCATAAACAGAGGGTTTATACTGCTTTTCAGCTGCTCACTTCATTCACTTGGCTCATCCGGTGCATGGAGTTGGATGCCAGTATACAGGAACACAGTACTCAAGAACTGAGAAAGGCCATGTGTACGTGCTAGTTCTATTCAGATGGCGTACGTGTTCATCATTGACTGGACTGCTTTCTTTCCGCTTCCATATTATTAAAAATATTCAAAACCCAACAAACCGCGCGACGCTTCCCGACAAACTGAGCATTCATTCCCGACAAGACCATAGCCTTCCCCGACAAGGCCATACCCCTACCCCCACCCCATTTTCAAAAACTCCTCGGCTAATGACCGATCACACAACTCTGAGCTCTTTTCAGATTTCTATTATTTTTCATGAAAATATTGGGGGTGGTGGGCCCTCCCGGCCCCCCCCCCCCCCCCCGCCTCATACGCCTATGCTTGGAAATTGTGTACAAAGTTTTTTTTTATGATTGATTTTAGTAGCCTAGGGTGTTCTCTTTCAGAATCTGCTGGGTAAACCCACATGAAATAATCCCCTATAGCTCCCATAGTATTTATTCTAGGATGATAATTTTGGTGCCTAACCGAGGTTTCAGGAATACACTGAAATCATTTATTATGTTGTGGGGTGATTAGATGATAGTAAAATCAAACATGCCAGACAATATGGCCCTTTAACATCGTTAATGGCGGTTGGGGGCGATTATTTCACCGAACCGAAGTATATCTAGAGGCAAACTATATATTCTGGACTTGGGAGCGTATGAGTGATAGGATAACACCACATACATCCTTATCAGGGGCTCCAGGGCCACATGGGTCGGTCCTGAAAAGGGAGACACAAGCTGTTTGTTGAACATTTATAAAACCAAATTCTACCCGCAAAACAGGAACATAACCTCCACAAAACTAGGTAATATCCAGTTTAATTCTTTAGTCGTGTTTCTGGCTGCCACATGTGACAGCACAAGCGCAAAATATTGTATATTCTAAGTTCAGGCATGATTTCTTTTCTCTTTTTTAACGGATTTGCGCTATTACAGTCGTCCATGGGTTGTTCCCGTGATTTATCTGAAAAAAAAGGTGGTGGTGGGGGGGGTAATGCATGTCGACCAAGTGTTAAGAGTTAGGAGAGACGTTATTATGTTATATATGTAAACACAGTTTACTTCATTATCAAGGTGATCGAGACTACAATAATTTTCCAATGAAATTCCAAGAAATCATAATCTGCGGAAATTGTCTTGAGGGGTGGTTTCGTATCAAGTCAGGTCTGTCGTCCAAGCCATTTGTAGGTGTTAAAATTAAATTTGAAACCTTTGGATATGAAACCTGTAATACGAATCGGTCTACGAATAAACATTGTGAGACGAAATATCCCATTTTTATAGGCCCACATTTTCATGTGGACGTATATTGTCGTCGCCCCTGTCCGGCTGGACGTCCGTCCACAATTGTTTGTGGACTCTCTACTGGTCACAATTCTTATTTGATTTTGACGAAACTTTAAATATAGGTTTATCCCCAAAAGATCTCGGCTGCTTTCGATATTGGCATGTATCGGATTGAAACTTCCTGAATTATGGCCCCTGATTGTACGAAAAATCGCGTTTTTAGCTTGTGGACCCTATAGAGGTCATAAATTTTATCCGATTTAAAAAAACATATTATTATATCACCGTTACACCCTAAGGACGGCTGAGTTCGGATTTCATGAAAATCGGCCCAAAACTGACAGACAAAATGGCCGCCCTTCATTCTCAAATAGCGTAAAAATATGGTATATCAAGGTTGTGGACCCTATAGTGTCACAATTTTTATCCGATTTTGTTGAAACTTGAAATGTAAGTTTATAACCCAAAGATCTTGGTTCCTTTCAATATTCACGCATATCGGCCGGTAACTTCCTGAATTATGGCCCCTGATTGTACGCAATAACGCATTTTTTGGCTTGTGGATCCTAAAGAGGTCATAATTTTTATCCGATTTAAAAAAACTTATTATTTTATCACCGTTTAACCCTATGGACGGTTGAGTTCGAATTTCGTGACAAAATGGCCTCCCTTCGTTCTCAAATAGCGTAAAAATATGGTATATCAAGGTTGTGGACCCTATAGAGGTCACAATTTTTATCTGATTTTGTTGAAACTTGAAATATAAGTTTATAACGCAAAGATCTCAGTTCCTTTCGAAATTTGTGCATATCGAATTGTAATTTCCTGAATTATGGCCCTTGATTGTAGGAAAAATCACTTTCTTTTTAGCTTGTTCTCTATCCATCTCTCGAAAATGTGGGCGTATCCTGCCTGGCAGCCGCTGGTCGAACATTCGGTACACCTCGGTATTTTATTCAAATGATTTCTCGGCTTTGAGTAAAATGAAATGTTGTTAAATAATTTATTGAGATGACATCCATGGTATAAAGGCAATTAATGATGTAAAGAATCCATGGAAATGGAGTTGGTTAGAGAAGGATGTGGGCAGGAAGGCGGTGGGCCTTTTCATCAGAAAATTGGGTCAGGCGTGAAAAGGCTACTGCCACGTATGCAGCAAAGAAATCAATTACTGAAGTTGGGGGGTGGAAGGCCCTGGAGCAGCATCTTACGCAAAAAATACACTGCGATCTAGTTAAGATACGGGATCAGAACCAGAGTTTGTCAGGTAGGAAATTTATTAATACTGTTTTTTTTTTTAAATTTTGATGTTGTAGCCTAGCAGGGCTGTTTGTGTGAGTAGATCAGCATTTGGAAAACATTGGTTAATTCCGGTACGCTAGTTATATATAGAGTACAGGAGTCTGTCAAGGTTTGCCGAATGAGTAGGTTAGGACAATTTTAT